TGTTGTGAGGCTATGGGGTCCGCCCAAGGCCCTCGTGGAAGGTGGCGGTGCGGGGCTGGCTCGGGCTCCTGCTGCATTGCGGGCTCCGCGCAGCTCCCGTAATTGGATAATTAGCGGCACTACGCCTCCTGCCCGTGGGCTCCTCGCTCCTGCTCGCTGCTCGAGCTTGGAGTCCTCGTGCCCGGGCAGGAGATAAATGCTACTCCTCCCTCCCCCCCCCCCCACGGCACCTTCGGAGTGAGCCCTCGTAAGTGGGGACACGGTTCTTGGCTAAGTGAGCTTCAGGACAGGCAGAAGTCACACAGGGCCCGAGTGAGGTGACCCAGGAGGGTGGCCAATAGGGACCGCGCCTCAGTGTAGGGGCCAGGGCATGGTTTGCACAGCAGCCTGGATCAGAAGAATAAGGACCATTTCACAGGTTCAAAAGTGAAGGCTTGGAGTTGGCTTGCACAGCCAGGCATCTCTGAGTGAGGTTCTGAGACAGATTTCCTGCCTGGTCGCCTTGCTGAGCTCCTTTTAATGGTTCTAATCACATTTGTTGTTTTTCTGGGGTTTTCTGGGCAGTCACATGAGGAAGGAGCGACAAAGACCCCTATGGATCCAGACCACCTGAGTTCGCATTGGCCTCTGCTCCTGGCTGGCTGTGTGACCTTGAGTGAGCTCCTTAACTCCTCTGTGCTTCATGGTGCAGGGAGCCAGCCCAGGCTGCAGAGACCGGGAGTGCAAGCACAGGTGCAATGGCTTCAGCTGGAACATGCGGGGGGCGGGGGGAGCTGAGGCCTGCCCTCAAGCTGAGTGCATTCTTTTTACACGGATGACTTTAGGAGATACAATGAGCCCACCCCCACGGGGCTCTGCTGCTGCCCCAGGCACATCGGAATGACTCAGGCTGTGGCTTTATCCTTGATTAACAGAGACGCAGCGGTCCCAGCGATAGATAGGGAGGGCTGCTGTGACAGCTCCTTGGTTCCTGGGGTCTCGGCTCCCATGAATGTGCTGCAAATGGATCCCATCTACAAGATGGGTGTGATACAGTGGCTGCAGCTCCTGCCTTCACATCAGCATTCCAGGCAGCAGGAAGAAGGAGAAGGGCAGAGGAGAACTTATCCCTGCCCTTTAAGGACATAACCCTGAAGTTGCCCCTGTCACTTTCGCTGACATCCAATTGGCCAGAACGTCATCATGCGCTCAGAAGCACAGCACCACGTGGAAAGTGGGCTCAGAGCTAGGAAGTCTCTGCCATAACTTTGTGGGGGCTCATTAGCATCTCCTAACATCATCGGGGGGGGCATAGAGTACAAGTGTGTTCCAGCTACGAGGAGAGACACACGAGTGTGGCAATGGCCAGGCAGCCTGGCCCCTCTCAGCTGCTCCGTTCTTGTGCCCCCGTAGAGCACCCACCCAACCTAGGCAGGGCGTGGCAGGTGTTGGATGACATGGAGGCTGGAGGTGGCGATAGGACAGTGGAGAAGGCTCTGCTTAGGTTCCCACTTCCACGAGGGGATTTTCCTAAAAGTGAGAACCCATATGGGCAGAACTGTCGGCTCATTGGGCCAGGCAGCGCCGCTCAGGGGCGCCACGGGTTGCCATTGCACACCCAGCATCCATCACCCTGCGCACAGCACGCCGAGAAGAACAGCTGCTGGGCCTTGCCGGCCTGGGAGCATGGGGACGCAGGCTGGCGTCAGTGAACACACATTGCAGGGCGTCCCTCACTCGCCGCCGTCTGTCTCCAGAACACAGTTTTCTCCTCCCAGCTGAAACTCTGCCCGCAGCACCAGCTCGCAGGCCCTGGCCCCGGCTTGCTGCTGTGTGTCTCTGTGAGCGCCACTCCTCTAGGTGGATCCCGACATGACTTGTCCCGCTGTGCCTGCCTAGTCTCACTGAGCAGCCTGTCCTAGAGGGTGACACTTGTCTCTGAGTCCCTGCTTTCTAGTCCAGAGGGAGATTGCCAGCCCTGAGCTGTGCTCGTTCGCATTCTATAGTGGGGCTTTTAAAAAACATTATCGATTTGTTTATCAGAGAAACAGAGAGCAAGAGAGAGAGACATATCTCACATCTCTCATCTGCCGGTTCATTCTCCAAATGCCTGCAATGGCCGGGGCTAGGCCAGCTGAAGCCAAGAGCCAAGAATTCAATCCGGGTCCCCCATGTGGGTGGCAGGGGCCCAAGCACTTGAGTCATCCCCGACGCCTCCCAGGGTGCATATTAGGAGGAGGCTGGAATCTCTAGCCAGAGGCAGGTAGTGGAACCGGGGCATGGGATGAGGGTGGGAAGCTCTGGACCTGGGACTCTGCATTCCTGCCATTCCCCGGGCACAGAGGGACCCACCCAGGTCTGCGGGCAGCTGCTCTGGGTTAGGCCGGAGCTCCTGGCTATCAGCTCGCCCACCCAAAGGCAGTGTCTTAGGTCCCAGCCGCCCCTAGGAATCTACACTTGGGTTTCTCTGGCTTCCAGGCTCCTCCCTGGCAGGCACCAGCACCGCACCTGCCTTTCTGCCAGACCGGGCACTGGGCGGGCAGGACGCCCTTGGAGTGCTCCCCAGGCCCCCAGGGCAGATCTTGGGGCTGGTGGGTGCTGCGGGACTGGGGAGTGGGGAGGGGCGCAGTGGCTGCGGGTTGGCCGTTGTCTGTTGTTATTGTTCTTGCCCAAAGCTGTTCCACTGAGAGCCACTTGGCGTGCGCACAGATTGTACCAGGAACAGGGGGAGGCAGGAGCGAGCACTGGGGGGCGGGGGGTGGGGGGCGCCTGTCCCTTTAAATCTGTTTTCTCGGGTTTTGTTTCCTTCTCTTTTCCCATCCTCCTCCCTCCACCGGCACAAGTGGTGGAGCTGTGAGGGCCCAGGAGCTGCAGTGACGGCGCCTCTGAAATATTAATGAGGCTGTTCTCGGCCTGGCTCTCTCCCTCCCCCTTCCTGGGCTGCATGCACGCCTCGTCCTTGGAACCCTCCTTTCCCCTCCCCGGTGGTCGCCAAGGTGCGTCAAGCAGGCGGGAGGGAGCAGGGCGGGCAGGAGGGAGCCTCGGGGAGTCGAGGGTTCCAGGGTCTCCCAGGTGGCCACCGTCTCTACCCGCTGGGATGGCCCAGGAGAGGATGGGGGCTACGGCCAGGGTGCCCTCCGCCCACGCCCCCAGCTGCTCCTAAGCACTGCTGGGCTGCAGGTGTGCGGCAGAGCCACCTCCCCCACAGCAGGGGCAAAGCCTGTCTCCCTTCTGTGGGGCCCGGAGCCGAGGTCCTTGGAGGAGGCAGGCCCTCGCCCGCTGTCTCTGCAGGAGGGCTCCTGGCAGAAGGCATGCATGCGGGTAGGCCCTCAGGCCCCCATCTTTTGCCCTCTGACCCTGGATTCTGCTTCTTCCTTGCCTCGGGGCCATGGTGTCCTTGGCTTGCTTCTGGCACGCAGTGGTCAGGAGCCTGGGGGTGGCCATGCAGGGGAATGCTGTGATCACGGGGCCCGGGACTTCCTGGATCCATGGCACCTGCCGCGGGGCTCTTTCCAGAGTGGAGCACGGGCCGAGCTCTAACGTATCTCGGAGCCCCGAGCTGGGGGCTGTGGTGGGAATTCATCCTCCAGTCGTCAGCCCCCTCCGTCAGACAAGGCTGGGCGACTGGGGAAGCTTCCCTGGGGTGTCGTCAGGTGCCCTGATGTGGGTGGCCATGACTCATGAGGGGTCACGTGGAAGTCAGGGCCAAGGGGCCAGGGCAAAAGCAGGGGCCTCATGTCTGGCATTGCTGACCCCTTATGCGGCTCAGTTTGCCCTCTGTGAAATGGGGTGGAGGGGGGTGTTGGTGAGGAGGCTAGCAGGTGCCGCAGGCATTGGCAATGCCGTGTGCACCAGCAGTTCCAAACTTAGCGTTGCGAGCAAAGACCCGAGAGAGAGGGCAGGGGAGAGCCCAGGAAGGCCCTAGCTTCTTGAAGCCTGGCATGCTGCCCAGGGCCAGAGCGGACCAGGGGTGATGGAGTTGGATGCAGGACCCCCGGGGTTTCTGGTCGCTGGAGTGGCCGGTGCTGTTTGGGCCTAGTGCGGAGGCACGGGTGCCTGCGCCCCGCTGGAGGGAAGGGTGCAGAAGGCAGGCAGGTGATGCAGCCTTGACAGCTACGCGTGCAGGGGGAAGTGGGAGGTGGGCCAGCTCCTGCTCTCTCCAGCCCGCAATCCCGGCCAGCTTGGGCCAGGATGGAGCAGGCGCCGGAAGCTCCGAGCGCCCCTCTGTAGAGGTTCTTAATTCAATTAAGCCAATTAAGAGCTGAGAGAGGAAAGAGCGGAGAAATGGTATGCGGCCTGCCCTCTTGGTGTCTACGGGCTGCTCTCGGCAGCCAGCCCAGGGCCGGAAACGCTCTGCTGGGGCCCGCAGACCCCACGGGCCTGGCCGCGGCTGTCCTTGACCATTCGGGTGAGGGCTGCTGTCCTGGTTGAGTCTGTGCCACCTGGTCTCTCAGCAGCCTGCAGTCACTCCAAGTGGGCCCTGCTTGAACTCGCTGCCACCTCCTGCCTGCCCTATGGCCCGTGCAGTTGGTGACTTCAAAGCAGCCCCACCCTACCCTGCCCGCATGCTATTCAGGACAGTGAATCTGCCTCCCGGGGCTCTGAGCTCTTCCCCAGGAGCCAAGCCCGCTCGTCCCCATTCCTGTAGGCCCTGATCTCCACCCAGAACCACCCCCTACCTCAGTAACCGATAACCCCGATAACCGCACGCACTTGTCTTAAGAAGCTAGAGAGCCAACCGGTAGGAGACAGAGACTCAGAGACCACTGCCGTGGGATCAGAGGCTCAGCGACCATCGGTCGGGGCTGGGGACTTGGTCGAGACCTTTGGAGGACACTCCGCTGAGATTGCAACTCGAAGAATTCACAGAAGGCTACCAGGTGGAGATGGGACAGAAGGGTGTGCACGGGGCTCAGAGCTGGCCAGGCTGTGTGGTTGCGGCAGAGTGGGCTGCGGCTGGGGAGCTGGGAGGGCGGGCGGTGTGGGGCACAGCTGGGCGGCCAGAGGCAGGAGGGGAACTGCAAGGTGCTTTGAGGGAACTGGCCTTTTGCTTGGTGGTGTTGGAGCAGGGCTAAAACGGAGGTTCTGGGTGACTATGCCACTGGCACATACACCACCCAAGAGCCCACCCAACAGACCCTCCTCCTGCCCTATCCCCCCAGGAGCCCTCAGGCGCCGTGTGGGAGGAGAGGCAAGAAAGATGAAAGTGTTCCAACGGAACAAAATGCTTCACTTGGCTTCCCACTGCTACTGTGGCCCTAGGTGGCTCCGTGGGGGACATCCAGGTTCCCTGCTGGCTCCTGGGCCCTGGGGCTGCACACACAGGATGATGTCAGCGCCGGGGGCAGTTAACGGGTGCCACTCTACAGGCTGGTAGGGGCAGCAGGGGACCCCGTGGAATGTCAGGCACTCCCCTACACCCACCCCCACACACACACATACATGCACGCACCCATGCACACATCCGCACGCCCCGCTGATTGCACCTCTTGCAGTAGCCCTGCCTGCCCGGGGCCTGGGAAGCCGACTTGCAGAGGGTTTGTGGCGGTGGATGCAGCTCTCAAGACAAAGCAGACTCAGCTGTGCCCTCCAGCTGCCGCTACGCATGGGGACTGCACCGCGCAGCTGGTGCCCAGGGTCAGAGAGAAGAGGGAAGAAGGCACTTCCAGCAGGCAGGGGCCAAGGTCCTGGGGTGTGGCCCACAGGGGGCTTTCTGCAGAGGAAGAGGAGTGCAGGTGGCATCCAAAGCCGCCCTCTGGCCCTGCCACTTCCCTGGCCGAGTTTCCTGTGATGGAGCAAGGGAGAGGGAGTCACACTGCCGCCACCGCCACCGCCACCGCCACTGCCACTGCCACGACCTGGGTGACTGCACTGCATCCATAGGAGGCGCCTGCCCTCAGCTCCGCCCAGTGCTCTGTGGTGGCCCGTGTCACTCAGAGGTCCCCTCCGCCCCACTCTGCCTCTTCTTGTAGCCGGGTCACTCTGCTCATCACCTGTCCCCCAGCTAGACAGAAGGAATGAGCTCTGTTTTGTCCCCCCGTGTCCCTGGCGCACAAAGCAACGCCAAGGCACGTAGTAGCTGCTCCGTGAGCATTTGGCAGATGCCCAAGTGGGAGAGCAGGTGGGAGAGTGTGGGCGGCGTGTTCGCGTATCTGCCACTTTCTCCCCACACCCAGAAGCCAAGGCTGCTGTGAGTGGTGTCTAGGGGCTGAGCACCAAGCCGCCCAAACCTTTAGGGTGTGGGTTACTTGCACACACCTGCTCTGAGTGCCTCCTCTGTCCCCCAGACCTCCCAGGCATGGACCACAAACCTCTTCTTGACAGCTAAGGCTGGGGGCCCTCTTGATGGCCAAGGCCTTGCACTTGGCCATCTCCATGTGGGCTTCCAAGGGGCCTCTTTGCCTTTCCTGGGAGGCTCTGGGTCATGGTGCTAGAGGTGGCTCCAGCTTGCAAAGCTGGGTCTGCGGCTAAGCTCTGCTTGTGAGAGACTCCTCCCAAGCTAGGAGCTTCCCCAACACAGGGCTCAGGGCCTGGCTTAGCCACGTTGCCAGGAGGGTTCTCGGCTGAGGTGAAGGCCGGGGCCACGTGCACTGAGACAGCTTCAGTTCCAGGAAGATGCAGGCAGCTTAGTCCTTGGCCTTGGGGGCTGTGCCCAGAAAGGACTGTGGGGAAAGAGAAGCTGGGGAGGACTGTGGTCCAGCCGAGGAGGGGGCCAGCGCCCTGCCAGTGTCACCAGTGACCTGTGGCTGCTCCCGGCTTTCTCCTGTGTGCCCTCTGCTGGGGCCCTGCCCTCTCTGCTCTCCCTCTTTTCCCTCCTTCCCGCTCACCCCCTCCTCTGCCCTCCTTCCCCCCTCTCCTCTCCTCTGCTCTCCTCTCCTCTCCTCTGCTTTCCTCTGCTCTCCTCTCCTCTCCTCTGCTTTCCTCTGCTCTCCTCTCCTCTCCTCTCCTCTCCTCTCCTCTCCGCTCTCCTCGCTCTTTCTCGTGCTCCCGCCCTCTGAGCTGCCCCTCTCCTGCCCCTGGCCTCCAGGTACCCTCAGGGCCCGAGAAACAGCCTGCACCCGAGGCCGTGCCCTGGAGCCCAGCGGGCCCTGCCCATGGCTCAGCCTGCCGCTCCCTGGAGTCCTGCGCAGCCCTGGGCCTGAGACCGTGAGCTGCAGCGGCGGCCGCAGCAGAAGATCGCCAGGGACCCGTAGCATGCCAGGCGTGCAGGGCGAGTCCTGATCAGGCAAGAGCAGGGGGAAGCTGCGGGCCGGGCGCGGGCGCGGGCGCGGAGAAATGGTGGCCAGTGGCGGCGGGGCGGGGTGGGGCAGGACCGGGCGGGGTAGGGGGAATGCTTGTCACAGGAGGCCCTGATGCTTCCTCCTCCCCCAGGTGAGCCCTCCCAGCTCTTGGGGCCCACGGTGCTCAGGCCTGGGGGACTATGGGGTGAATTTGGCGCTCAGTGAGCCGTGAGTGGCAGACACCGTTCTGGAAGACTGGACTTCTGCATTGCCTCCTTCTCCCCAGGTGTCCACGCTTAGCCACTGCTCCCTGCACCACCCCTTGCCTGGGCCCTCGGACTGCAGGTGGCTGCCTGTCCCTAGCTGCAGTGACACACACGGAGCCTGCGCCTTCCCGAAGGCTCCACGGGCAGAATGGGCGACATGGCCAACAGCTCCATTGAGTGCCACCCCAAGCCCCAGCCACAGCGGGAGGCCCCGCATGCAGGTGGCTTTGGGTGCACGCTGGCTGAGCTCCGCACCCTCATGGAGCTCCGCGGGGCCGAGGCGCTGCAGAAGATCCAGGAAGCCTACGGGGACGTCAGTGGGCTCTGCAGGAGGTTGAAGACCTCGCCCACCGAGGGTGAGTCCTTCCCGGAGCACCATGGGAGTGCCTGCGGCTCCAGGCCTGCCTTTCCTCCTGTGCAGCGCAGGTGCTGCTGAACTTGGCTGTGCCCTCCTCTGAGCCACAGCCCTTGAGTGGCAGGTGCTTGGGGCGGAGAGGACTCTGTATCCAGAGAGGGACGGGGAGGGAGGACACGGCAGCCACAGAAGACCCGTGCAAGCGGAGCGCCCCAAACTGAAACCCCAGAATTCCATGCTTAAAGGGGGCCAGAAGAGGGGGACGAACGGGCTGCAGGGGACTCAGGTTACAGAGCGCCTCTCTCTCTGGAAAGGCAGGGGATAGCCCAAGGTGGCCCAGGAGCCTCTGGGGCTTGTGGAAGGGGTGGTTGAGGCTAGGGCAAGGGGGCCCCGAGTGTAGATCAGAGGTGGCCCTGGCAGCAAGTAGTCCCAAGTAGGGTCGCAGTGTCTGGGCTGCTCTGCCCCAGCCTGCTGCAGCCACAGCTGCGGGGGTCCACTGTGAGGCAGAGACCACCCGGGAGCCAGCCGAGCCCTGGATTCCAGGAGCTGGAGTGCTTTCTGGCCCAGCTGGCACTTGCCTGGCAGGGCTGCCCGGGCTATCCCAGCTTGATGCCAGGCTTGCGCCCTGGCCAGCGCCGATTGATTTAATCAGCTGCTCAGCTCGGCAGCCGCACCTTGGCCCAGCGAGGGCTGCTAGCCCTGGACGTGGCCCTGGGCTCCTCCTGCTCCCTGCCACCACTCCCCCCAGCACCGTCCCATCCATCACCAGGCCCTGCCTGTTCTGATTTCTAAATCTGTCCCTTGCTCGTATTCACCACTGCCTGTCTCTGCTGCTCCTGCACCCTCTCCTCTCTGCCTTTGGCCCCACCCAAAATTTCAAGGCCTGAACAGGATCCATTGCTCTGGCCTGAAGGCTCCGGCCGCTGGTAGCACACAGGCCCGCCCGGAAGGCGAGGTGCAGGCAGGCAGGGGGAGGAGGAGGCCCAGGCCCGGAGCTGCGAGGTGGAGGTGGTCTCCCTGGCTCTGCGCTCGCTGGCCGGGCCCTCTGCCCTTTGTTCCCCCTCGCCTGCCCCCTGAGGAGCCAGGGCCGGGCCTCGGAGGAGTCTGCAGTGCAGAGCCATGTGGCCTGTCCCGGATCAAAGGAAGCAGATGGGCTTCAGCTGGCAGCACTTCCCTCTGCCTGCCAGGCCTTGTTAAATATTTAAAATGTCAAGGCCCCTGGGAAGCTGCCCGATTCTGCCATAGAGCCCCGGAGCGCGCCCAGTGCCTATGGAGCGGGCAGACAGGGAGAAGGGCAGGTGCCCAGGTGGGTGGCCCAGCCCCTGCCGGGCTTCCGGGCGCCTGGCTCCCTGGGGCCGGGTGTGACGTGGGGAGATGGAGCGGCCTGAGGGCCAGCCCTCCTCTCTCAGACCTGGCAGGCCTCCAGGCCGTCAGACCATCCGACCTGAGCGGCTGCTGCCGGGAGCGAGGGGACCCTCAGCTCCATAGCCCCTCAGGCAGGCATGGGGGGTCCTCAGCAGGCCTCCGACTCGCCCAGACCCGGGGCTCACTCCTGCAGGTGCCAGGAGGTGGACAGGCCCTCCCCCACATGGCAGGTGCTCTACCGAGGGTGGCATCTTTGGGGACAGGGGCTTTGCCCTCTCGGCCTTCACAGAGATGCGAGAGGATTCCAGAAGAAAGCCACCCCTGTTTGTCAGAGACCTTCAGGCGGTGCTGGGAAGGAGGAGGCAGATTAGCTGGGAGCCGACACGATGTGGTCCTAATCCAATTCCGATGGCATCTGGCCTCTGCTCTGGGCACGCTGCCCATCTGTGTCCATGCCGACCGGCCGGCCCCTGCCCCCAGGCCCTGGCCCCAGGCCGCCTGCGGGCCTGCTGGGCGGCCGCCTGCTCAGAACCAGAGGGGTGGCAGCTGCTTCCACACTCCCCACACAGCATGCGTGCTGCAGTGGCCCACGGGCAAGCCCAGGCTGTGGGGCAAAGGTAGCCGCCCAGTCTCTGGCAAGGAGGGAGAAGAAGCAGGGTGGCCGCAGCCAGGGTGAATCAAAGCCGAGGGCGAGGGGGTGGAGGGGCACTGTGCAACTCTCTGGAGGCTGCAGCCTAGGGGCAGTGCAGACCCCAGGGATCTGGGAGGCTCAGAGCTCAGAGAGGTCCCTGTCCCTGGCACTGCCCCCAACCCCCGAAGCTCCTGCAGTAGGTCCCCGCCCCCCCCCACCCCTCCCCTGCCATCGCAGGAGCTGGGGCCCTGACTTTGTCCCAGCCGCCCAGCGGGGAAGCCTTTGGCCCCAGCAGAAACCCGAGCCGGCCACTGGGCCCAGCGCAATGAGGCCAGGGGGAGAAAGACAGGGACAGCTGCAGCCCTTCCGGGCAGGGAGGACACCGTGTGGCCGTTGCCTAGCCAGGGTGGACGTGCAAGACTGTGACAGCCCCAGCGTTTGCTCTCCGTGCTTCTGTCTCGGACAGAGCCCGTCCTGCCCTCCCTCCCCTTCCTTGTCCTCCAGTCTGCTGTGTTTTCCCAACCCACCAGGAGCTCCCCAGGGGCCAGCCCCCTGGCCCCCAAACTTGCAACAGGTGGCAAGCATAATGCCATCTCCTCAGGACTGGGGGCTGCAAGCTGCCATCTGCCCACTAGGTGGCAGTGTGGGGCAGGGCACTGGGGGCGGGAGGAGCCCAGATCAGCCATGGGTTACCACTGAGCTGAGTGCCTGGGCTGCGGTGGTGCCGTCCCAGCTGCCTGCCTCTGGGGAAGGTGACTGAGTGGGTGTCCGGCCTTGGGGGCCTTGGGGAATCCGGCACCTTCAGGGGTGGGCCTGGGAGACTCATGCTCCAGAGGCAGGGACCCGCTCGGTCCAGGCGGGACACACCAGTCCTCTGTGTGTTGGTGGTGTGCTCTCCACTGAGCAGGCCATTGCTAGCCAGCTTGCTGGCTGACGTGCCCGGACTCGGCCTGCCCAGCAGTTGCACTGGGCCCAGTTTCAAGCTGCCTTATCCTCTTAGCGCTCACAACTGGCTCCCCCGCCTTCCCGTCTTTGTCCCCAGCCAGTTTCCTGTCCTTCCTCCTCGCACGACATCGTTGCAGTCTTTGGGTCTCTGCACCCCAGTACTTGCCTTCGCTACCAGCTCTCACACTGCCTCCTGTGCTCCTGCCCTGGCCTGGGTTCAGGACCAAACAAGTGGCACCAGCCTCTCCGGCTTGCTCTCGTGTCCATGCAGGGCAGCAGCCAGAAGCAGGTGCAGAAAGGCCCGGTTCCCAGTTCCCAGACCCACGCCCGCGCTGCCTGAGGGAGCGTGCGAGCTAGAGGGGAGAGCCCCCCCCCCATGCCGAGGGCAGCCGTCAGCAGGAGGCCGGCGGGCAGGCCCCATCTAACCGTTCTGTGCTTCTGCTGCCCCTGTCCGGCGCTGTGCAGGCCTGGCGGACAACACCAATGACCTGGAGAAGCGCAGGCAGATCTACGGGCAGAACTTCATCCCCCCCAAGCAGCCCAAGACCTTCTTGCAGCTGGTGTGGGAGGCCCTACAGGACGTGACCCTCATCATCCTGGAGGTAGCAGCCATCGTCTCCCTGGGCCTCTCGTTCTACGCCCCGCCTGGAGAGGAGAGTGAAGGTGAGGGCCGGGCTGGAGAGAGGGTCCTCCCAGGACCGTGTGGCCCGGGGGCGGGGCTTGCGGTGGGTGGGGCCCCAGACTCACACACGACTTCCCCTCGCTTCTGTCCTCGGGCACAGCCTGTGGGAATGTGTCCGGTGGAGCTGAAGACGAGGGTGAGGCTGAGGCCGGCTGGATCGAGGGGGCCGCCATCCTGCTGTCGGTCATCTGCGTGGTACTGGTCACGGCCTTCAATGACTGGAGCAAGGAGAAGCAGTTCCGAGGCCTACAGAGCCGCATCGAGCAGGAGCAGAAGTTCACGGTCATCCGGAATGGCCAACTCCTCCAAGTCCCCGTGGCTGCGCTGGTGGTGGGCGACATTGCCCAGGTCAAGTATGGTGAGGAGGCCCACAGCCCCTTTCTGGGGAGGGTAGGCTCAATGACAGGGGCCCCCAGTGCCCACTCTCTCCCCAGGGAGCACAAGTGAGGCTTGGCCTGCCGGAAGCTGCAGCTGGGGGGGAGGCGGAGCAGCCTGGGGCAGGACCCAGAGAGTGTCAGATGCCACGGTGTCCCCGGGAAGCAGGCTGTCCCACGGTCTCTGTGAAGGGTGCTGCAGGGTGCGGGTGTCCCGGCTCCGTGGATACTGAGTGGGTGGAAGAGGCTAGAAGGAGGGGACTCTGAAGTCCGTCCCTGTCACATCGACAGACCATCCCCAGGGTGGGGGTAGGGAGTGCTTGCAGGAGAGGCGGAGGTTCCCGTGGGCCCACAGGCCCTGGCTGTGACCGCTGGCCGCTCTGTAGGAGACCTGCTGCCCGCCGACGGCGTGCTCATCCAGGGCAATGACCTCAAGATCGACGAGAGCTCGCTGACAGGCGAGTCGGACCACGTGCGCAAGTCAGCCGACAAGGACCCCATGCTGCTCTCAGGTGCTGACCAGTGGGGGCGGGGGGCTGAGAGCCACGCCCCCGACAAGGCCAGGGAAATGGGCCCTCCCAGCCAAACAGGGCCCTTGGGGTCCCGAACAGGAAGCCCCAGGGGGAAGGGACTTGCTGGGGGGGGGGGGATCAGCATATTACCACACACCTCCCAGATCCAGCCCCTCAAGGCGATCTGGTGGGAACAGTGGTCCCTTTCCAGAAGGTTCTGCATTACCATAGTGTTTATCCCAGTGGGCACTGCAATGTGCAACTGGACAGAAAGACCGCAGACCCTATGTAGGCTTTGTGAGTGGCTCACCCCATCCCTCTTTTTTAATGATATCTATATATATATATATATTTATTTATTATTTTAAAGGCACAGTTACAGAGAGGGAGAGACACAGAGAGAGAAAAAGAGAGACAGAGACAGAGATCTTCCATCAGCTGCTTCACTCTCCAAATGCCCACGACAGCTGGGGCTGGGCCAGGATGAAGCCAGGAGCCAGGAACTCCACCCAGGACTCCCACATAGCTGGCAGGAGCCCAGGGGCTTGGGCCATCTTCCGCTGCTTTCCCAGATGCATTAGCAGGGAGCTGGATCAGAAGAGGAGCAGCTGGGACTCAAACTGGTGCCCATGTGGGCTGCCGGCATCACAGGCCACAGTGCAGGCTCCCACCTCGTGTCTCTTGACAAAGCTCTCTGCTCCTCCATAGGCCTCCAGGTCCCCTCCAAGCCGGGGGGGGGGGGGCTTCAGTCTAGGCTTGGGGTCAGCACAGACTCTGGCGACCTCCATATTCTGTGTGCACGGAACCTGTCTCCCACCAGGTGGTGCAAATCTCTCTCTCCGTCTCTCTTTGTTGCTGTACCAGGCACCCACGTCATGGAAGGTTCTGGAAGAATGGTGGTGACAGCCGTTGGGGTGAACTCCCAGACAGGCATCATCTTTACCTTGCTTGGGGCTGGAGGAGAGGAGGAGGAGAAGAAAGATAAGAAAGGTAAGGCACCATTGACGTGGGTTTCCAGCCACTGCGAGTGGGAAACCATGCTGGCTCTAACGCTCTTTCCAGGGACCCATCTTGTGGGGTTTTCCTCTGACAGCCAGCAGGTCAGGGGCTCCCCAGTCCCATGTGAGGCTGCTCCCCATGGTGTGAGCCCCCGGTGGGCGGTGCCTGTGTTGGGAGAATGGCGTTAGAGGGTGCTGCGGGGACTCCCACCCTCCCCAGGGAGGGCAGCAGCCAGGCAGGCAGAGCCTGAGGACGTGCAGGGCCAGAAGGGCTGGGGAGCACTGAAGGCAGACAGAGGAAAGCAGTGCCCCAGGGCAGGTGTCTTGTGAGAGCCACCCCCCACCCCACACACACACCCAGAGCACAGCCCGGGGCTCCTGAAGCTATGGAGAGAGAGAGAGGTCTTCCATCTGCTGGTTCACTCACCAGATGGCCACAACAGCTGGAGCTGGGCCGACCTGAAGCCAGGAGCCTGGAGCTTCTTCCTGGTCTCCCACGTGGGCCATCTTCCACTGCTTGCCCAGGCCATAGCACAGAGCTGGATCGGAAGTGGAGCAGCTGGGACTCGAACCCACACCCATATGAGATGCCGGCACAGTGCCAGCCCTGGGGAGCACAATTTCTAGATGCAGATCTCATCTGTGCGAGAAGACACGTGGGGCACCCAGAAGTTCAGACAGCTCCCCCGTGGGGGCCTGGGGCTAGGGAGCTGGGGATGGAGGACAGCCTCTCCCATGGGCTGCGGGAACCTGCACCCCCACCCCACCTCCTGTGGCTCCTTCCTGGGCTCCTGGCCTCCTGCTCTGTCCTTCACGACTTTGAACTTCACCAGCCTCCTTGAGCCCCTCCCCGTCACTCCCCCCCAGCACCTTCAGGCTGTGCATTTAGGAGTCAGATTGGGGGTGCTTCCTGGAGGACAGCAACCTGCAGGGGTCCTGGGAGGACAGCAGCCACACCCCAGCAGCAGCCAAAGCAGGCATCTCCCCCTCGCCCAGCCGGTGGGCATGCTCCAAAGGTGCTTCCCATCTGCCTGCCCCCATGCCCCTTTGGGCCTGTGCATCCCTTCCCCTGTGCCCCCGCCCCTGCCTCCTGCTCCCTCTCCTTGCCAGAAGCCGCCACTGTCACACGTCCTTGCTTTGGGTCCCATGGCCCAGGCATACCCAGCAATCTGCCCCTGTGCTGTGCTGTCATCCACTGTTCTCCCATCCACCCCCCAAGTGTCCTTCCCCTCTGGACTGTACCCCAATCCCCACAGGGGCCCTGGGCAGGGAGGGCTCCTTCCACACCTTCCCAAGGACCCCAGACCCTGAACCCACTGCCTGGGAGCCGCCTGGCACCCTGTCTATGTCCCTGAATGCCAGTGACATGAGCTGTTGGGCAGCAACGGGTGAGTGCACAAGCCCCGCCTGGCCTGGCCAGCTTATCTCGGAGCCGGGCCTGTGCGGATACAGCCCCCTGGAGAGCTCCTCTAACTGCTCCCGGGCACCCATCCCAGGAAGACCCCACCTGCTGTCTACACTCCCTGTCCTGCTGCTGGGCGTCCACACTCAGGCCAGCCGCACCCATGCAGTGGGCCCCACCCTACCCAGCGTGGATTGACAGGTGCCCTGGAGGCCCCAACAGGTCCTCGGGTGTCACTCGTTTGTCTCTTTAAAGCGCACACAGAGCTAACCTGTGGCAGTGGTCACAGACAGCTCTGAGCGTGGGCTCCTGGGCCTTAGGGAACAGCAAGGCAAACCCAGGAGCCGGCCATGGCTGCCTTGAGAGATTCACTGTAGGACTGGGATTGAGATACACAACGCTCCCCCCCCCCCCGCCCGACCCGAGGAACCTGGCCAAAAGGCCAGAGTGTCCAGTGCACTCCTGTGCTGGGGCGGGGGTGACAGCATGAGCCTGCAGAGCAAGGGACACAGAGAAGGCCCTTCCTCCTGCCCCGCCGGCCGCAGGCCCCAGGGCTGCCCTCTGCATGTGCCAGGCCACGTGGCCTTGTCAAGGCTCCATGTCTGTCATTTCTCTTCCCGTTGTAGGCAAGCAGCAGGATGGGGCCATGGAGAGTAGCCAGACCAAAGGTAACACGTGGGGGCTGGCAGAGGGGACTCAGTGGGGGGAGGGCTGCAGGCCAGGGCCGGGCGCAGCACGAGAGGCCACTGGGAGGGAGCAGCCTTGGTGAGTGACCTTGGGCTGCCGGCTGAGGGGAGGGATGCAGAGGTGACGGCCCATTGGATGGGGGACAGGCTGTGGAGACCCCTAGGCCACCGGGTAGGGTGCCCCCTCCCCGGGCGGGGGGTGACATGGCTGCTCTGGGCAGTGCAGCGGGAGCCTCCAGAGGCTGTGAACGTGTGGGGAGGCAGGTGAGGAAGTGGAGGAGGCAGAGCAGTGGGGACAGGAGGAACCCAGGAAGCAGAGAGGCAGCTGCACTGACACCTGGAGAGGAAGACAGCCCTGGCATTCTGGAACCTTCCTTAGGCCCCATGCCTCTGCTCTCAGGTATTGAGATTTGGGGCATTCCAGGACCAGCCACCCAGTGCTGGAGCCATGCAGACAGGCGTGGAGAGCTTGGTGTTCGGGAGGCTGGAAAAGGGAGGGAGGTTGGCAGGCCGGGCTGCGCTGCACTCGGAAGGCTCCCAGTAGCACCTTGCCCCTGGCGGGACTGTAACCTTGGCTGTGGGGCTCTTCTGTACACAGCTAAGAAGCAGGATGGGGCTGTCGCCATGGAGATGCAGCCCCTGAAGAGCGCAGAGGGCGGGGAGCTGGAGGAGCGCGAGAGGAAGAAAGCCAGTGCGCCCCGGAAGGAGAAGTCGGTCCTCCAGGGCAAGCTCACAAAGCTGGCTGTGCAGATTGGGAAGGCAGGTAGGCGTGGCCAGCTGTGGTGGGCGGGGGCCCGGCTGTGGAGGCGGGGGGCATGGGTGGAGCCACTCCTGAGCCATGGAGTCCTGCTGGCTGGAACCCTGGTTTGTGAGGGTGGTCCTCCCAGCTACAGTGCCCCTCACCTCTTCTCCCACTTCCTGTCCCCCTCCCTCACTCCTCCACCCTCTGTGGCCCCCGCCCCCGCTGGGCAGGGCTGGTGATGTCCGCCATCACCGTCATCATCTTGGTCCTCTACTTCGTGATCGAGACCTTTGTCGTGGACGGCCGGGTGTGGCTGGCGGAGTGCACGCCAGTCTATGTGCAGTACTTCGTGAAGTTCTTCATCATCGGTGTCACTGTGCTAGTCGTGGCTGTCCCTGAGGGCCTGCCTCTTGCTGTCACCATCTCCTTGGCTTACTCTGTCAAGGTAATGACGCCGCCATCGAGACCACCATGCACACTCGGAAACTGGGGTAGGAGGTCCCTGGGCACGGGACGAGCTTTGGGATGGCTCGGGGGAGGGAAGGCAGTGCTGCTGCGCACGGCCCCAGAGGGCACGGAGGCTCTGCTGCTGGGAGGTGGCCTGAGCAAGCCAGCAGCAGCCTAGACCCGGGGTCTCACGTCTGCAGGATGTAGACAGGGGATGACAGAGGAGCCAGGAAGTTGATGGTGCGGGCAGACACAGAAGGGGGAGTAGCAGTGGGTCAGGGATGGGGGAGGGGAGGAGCTAAGAGGGGGCTCTGGACCGTCCAAGCCCCCTGCCAGCTCCCCGCACGATGAGATTCCTGGGGTTGTCCAGACTCCGTTTGACCGTTACGGTAACAAAATCCCTCAGGAAATCATCCAAGCAGCGCCTTCAGGCGACAAGTGGCACTGGGGAGCAGCCTCCCCCGCCAGTGTTTGCTGACTGCCCCCCTTACTTTGCCCTGATGAGCCAACAAGCCGAGTCACGACCCCTGCCCGCCCCCGTGTGACCTTTACAGAAAATGATGAAGGACAATAACCTGGTGCGCCACCTGGACGCCTGCGAGACCATGGGCAACGCCACGGCCATCTGCTCAGACAAGACGGGCACGCTCACCACCAACCGCATGACGGTGGTCCAGTCTTACGTGGGAGACACGCACTACAGAGAGGTCCCCGCCCCTAGTGCCCTGACACCCAAGATCCTCGACCTCCTGGTCCATGCCATCTCCATCAACAGTGCCTACACCACCAAAATACTAGTGAGAAGGGGCCGCTGGGAGGCTGGGCCGGGCAGGGCTGAGGCGAGGGAGTGGGGGCTGGCCCTTCAGCACGAGGTTGCACGTGGCGCTTCTCCTGTCCCTGGCTGCTGGGCTAGCCCCTGCCAAGCCCGGTGCACGATGGGAAGGCTGCGGCCTGTGCACCACTGCCAGCAGCCTGAGCCAGGGGGAGGCCAGGGGTCTTGAAGGACGGCACTCTCACCCTGAATCATGCCGGCTCTTCCCGCCAGCCTCCAGAGAAGGAAGGCGCTCTGCCGCGCCAGGTGGGCAACAAGACCGAGTGTGCCCTGCTGGGCTTCGTGCTGGACCTCAAGCGGGACTTCCAGCCTGTGCGGGAGCAGATCCCGGAAGACAAGCTGTACAAAGTATACACCTTCAACTCGGTCCGCAAGTCCATGAGCACCGTCATCCGCATGCCCGATGGCGCCTTCCGCCTCTTCAGCAAGGGCGCCTCGGAGATCCTGCTCAAAAAGTGAGTGCGTGGCGTGAGTGAGCCACGGAGCCCACAGAGGGGGGCTCTGGTGACTGGTGCGGTCAAAGCGACCTAAGGGAAAGCTGACCGATGGCATGCCTATCAAGGGTGCACTTCTGTGCCCTCTAGGACATCAACAGTGCCACGTGACCATTAGCTCCGTGATATTTCCATCCCCCCAAAACGAAAGCACGGCTCCAGCCCTGGCAGCCAGTCCTCGGCGCTCTGTGCTCAGCGCCTCTGGGAGCCCCGTGCACAAGCTGTTGCGTGTGCTTGCGTGTGTGCTCACTTGTCGGCTGCATGGCCTGAGCGGAACCGCTGCGTGGCACGGGCACTGTCCGCTTACCTTGCTGAGCAGCCACCAAAGTGTCTCCCCCCGCAGCTGCACTTTTGCTGCCTTTGGGTGTTCTTACTCGCCCGAGAGTGGCCCGAGCTGCACAGATGTCTGAGAAGAGTGAGGGCCTCCTCGGCGAGGCGACCCGATGTCCCGAAGTCGGCTGTGCTCACGGCTGCACAGAGTGCCCGTGCGAGCGCCCCGGCTCCCCTCGCCTGCCCCCGATACCTCCACTGGGCCTACGCCTGGGCATGGCCCTCCACTTTGCCCCATTCCACTTGACTCCACTGGGCTCAGCGCTGGTCTTCCCGGCACCGTGGGAGCAGTCCTCAGCCGGACACCCCAGGTTCAGCCCACCCCTCCTCCCTGAGCAGTCGTCCACCCAGTGCAAAGGCTCCCTCCCCGGTGAAGCTGGCCCCGTGCATTGGGAGTGGGCCCTAGACTTGGGGTCCCAGCCCCTTCCCTGTGCTGCTGCTGCTGTTGGTGGCCGTGAACTTGAGCAAGTGACTTCCTGCCCCATGCTTCAGTCTCCCCTTGTTATCTGGAGGTAGCACGAACGCTTATCTTGTGGGAGTGTTTAATGAATTACAGGAGTGGAGCTGGCACTGTAGCATAGTGAGTTAAACTACCGCCTGCAACGCTGGCATCCCATACGGGTGCTGGGTCGTCTCCCAACTCTCCACTTCCCATGCAGCTCCGTGCTAATGCGCCTGAGAAAGCAGCAGAGGATGGCCCACATGCTTGGGCTCCTGCCACCCACGTGGGAGACCCAGAAGAGGCTCCCGGCTGTAGCCTGGCCCAGCCCTGACCACTGTGGCCATTTAGGGAGTGAACCAGCTGATGGAAGATGTCTCTCTCTCTGTAACTCTAACTTTCAAACCTTAAAAGCAGCAGCAGCAGCAGCAGCAGCAGACTGGCAGGAGTGAATACACGGCCACGGTGGTGGGGCTGCTCTGAGAAACAGCCACAGTCGTGGTGACTCGAACCAGCAGCAGTATCCGGAATCCTGGATGCGGGCCAGACTTCGCTCCTCTGGGGGCTTTTAGGGAAACAGCCTCCTGCCTCTGCCAGCTCCCGTGGCCCCCGGCACTCCCTGGCTCGTGGCTGCACCACTCCCATCTCGGCGTCCTCCCACGGCTGTCTGTGTGTCTGTGTCCTCTCTTTTTACAAGGACACCCATCGTTGGCACTCCTGCGGCATGACCAGTGCTGTTTCCTCTTATTCTCTCCCTGCCTCGCCCTCCCCCAGGTGCACGCACATCCTAAACAGCAATGGCGAACTCCGGGTCTTCCGTCCTCGGGACCGAGAAGACATGGTGAAGAAGATCATCGAGCCGATGGCTTGCGATGGCCTCCGCACCATCTGCATCGCCTACCGTGACTTTGCTGCAGGCCACGAACCCGACTGGGACAACGAGAACGAGGTGGTGGGCGACCTCACCTGCATAGCCGTCGTGGGCATCGAGGACCCCGTGAGACCTGAGGTAGCCATCCCCTGTCTGTGTGCTGCCAGAGCTGCAGGTGCAACCAAGCCCAGAGTCAGAGAGGCTGAGGGAGATGGGCGGGGCTGGAGGAGGTAGCATGCTTCATGTCAGACCCTTCTCGGTGCACCTGATCCTGCTTGCTGGGCACTCATGCCCTTGACCCACACACACACCCTCTGGATGTGGCCCAGGTTCCTGCTTCTGCTCAGCAAGAGGTGGTGGCAAACAGACTCTGGCATTTGGGAGCCATCAGCCACAAGGGACGGGGAGAGCCAGCTGACACTGAGGCTGTGCTTCCGGAAGCATCTTTATGGGGGGTGATGCAGCCAGCGCAACAGGAGCCAGAGCACAATGAGTCTAGTCCTGGCCTGCATTTAGGGGGACACTGGAGACCTTGAGCTGAACAGCTTCCGCGTGAACGCTGTTTGTCCTCAAGAGGGAGCGAGTGAGGAGGACAGCAGGGCCCTGGCAGGAGCGGGCAAGGCACAGTGGACAGGTACTAGAGACAAGAGACACCCAGTGCGCCAGACAGCGCTTGCGGCATCCAAGCCCCAGCCATGTGTCCTTTGTTGGACCGGAGAGAAACTGAGGCACAGGGCAGCGGACGGCAAAGCCGTGAGAAGGTGGCTCAGGGCAGGGAGAAGACCCTGACGGGCCCAGGGAGCAGTTCACAGCAACGGGGGCAGGTGGCAAGGCCAGGCGGCAGGCCCGCAGGTGGCCCGAGGCCCCAGCAGGAGGCTGTTTTCCGCGGGAAGAAGCGGGTGCCTCAGCTGGCAGATCCCGGGTCCCACGCTCGTTGTGGCCACTTGGTGGCAGCAGAGGGGCGGCGTCCCCGCGCTTTGGAACGAGGAGCTCGCTGGCCTGAAAGGGAGTTCATGAGCTCGCTGAACAGCATGGCAGGGCCCACAGGAGCAGAGCGCATGGCTGGGACTGGAAGGAAGTGTGGGGTGCGAGCTCAGGCACCGTTGGGTCGCTCTGTCGCGGCCCACACTGGGGCCCTTCTCTCACCCCACGCTCTCCCTGGTCTGAGGGACCTCCAGCAATGCACTCTGGGATGCCCGCGGGCACTCTGTCCCACAGCTGTCTCGCTAGGCTTCCTCCCCGCTCCTGAGCCATGGTCACTCCCCCGCACTGCTCTGGGCTCTTGGCTTCCCACTGTCACTTCCCCCTCTTCAGCACTAGGGCAACTTCTTCCTGTCTCCTGGTTTGGGTATCCAAGCCAACATTTGCAGTGTTCCGCTGCAACTCTAACAAAAAAGAAAATGTCTTGGGTTTTGCTTTGTAAAAAGGACAAGACTCATGATCAAGGAGCCCAGAGCTTAGCCCGAAACTAGCTGACAACACACATACCTGCCAGGAAGCCAGGGAGCCAGCAGTGCCGTGAGGGCAGGAGGCCCCTCCCTCTTTCCTCTGGACCTGACCTGTCCAGCATAAACGCTTCTGAAGGCTTCTCTCAGCCTCGCCCAGGCTGTGTGGGCCCAAGTGTGATCTGCCCCTGGGCCCCGGCACTGAGGGAGCCCCTGCCATACTCCAGGCCCCTCCTAGGTCCACCCCTCCACACACACACACACACACACACACACAGAGAGAGAGAGAGACACACACACACTGCCCCCAGCTGCTTCTCCCATCTCTTCCAGGTCCCTGAAGCGATTCGCAAATGCCAGCGTGCCGGCATCACGGTCCGCATGGTAACTGGGGACAACATCAACACAGCCCGGGCCATCGCAGCCAAGTGCGGCATCATCCAGCCTGGGGAGGACTTCCTGTGCCTGGAGGGGAAGGAGTTCAACCGCAGGATCCGCAATGAGAAGGGCGAGGTAGCTCCCCCCAACCCTGACGCCGCCCTCCCCCATTCTGGCTGCTGCTTCTCAGTCCCTCCCCCCACCCCCAACCCTGCACCCCGCCCGCGTGCCCAGCCAAGCTCTGCAGCACCCGTGTGCTTCTCCCCAGATAGAACAGGAGCGGCTGGACAAGGTGTGGCCCAAGCTGAGGGTGCTCGCCCGGTCATCTCCCACCGACAAGCACACGCTAGTCAAAGGTAACGCCAGCGCCCTCATGTGTCCCAAGTGGGTCTCCAGAGCCTGTCTGGGAAGTTAGAGCACTTGGCTCAACACTCCTTGCTTCTGGAGATTGATTTTGTGTCCTGGGGCCAATCCATCGGTAGCACTCCCTGAACCTCAGTGTCCCCATTGGGAAAGTGGGGACAATAATGGAGCCCACCCTTGCAGGCTGCTGTGCCAGCCAGAGCACATGCCCCCAGACGACTCTTGGCTGAACACTGCTTCTCTGAGCGGCAACATGAGCGGGAAATGCCCAAGCAAGAAGGGCTCAGAGGGCCGCCCCCTCGTCATGACAGATGGCGAGCTAGAGCCCGAAGGGGGGAGACGGACCCAAGTCACCATGAGCCCCAAGGGTTTTCAGGGCCAGCCGGCACCTCCAGGACCGCCCACGGCCAGCGCCCTCAGCAGCGCCACCCTGCCTCGTTCTGTGTTGCAGGGATTATCGACAGCACCAGTGGCGAGCAGCGGCAGGTGGTAGCTGTGACTGGGGATGGCACCAACGATGGACCAGCTCTCAAGAAAGCAGATGTGGGCTTTGCCATGGTGAGCAGCCCCAGCAGATGGCCCCAGGTGTCACAGCCATCAGCTTTGCAGCAGAGCTGGGGCGGATAGCAGAGGACCGAAAGCTGCTGTCGGCCACCTCCTGGCCCCTGGGGCCTGCAAGGGCTCTGCCAGTCAAGAGACACGTGTGTGGTTTGTTTGTGGTGTCTGGAGCCCAACCTCACCACCCAGGCCAAGGACAGCAGGTGGCAGGGGACACAGATGGTCCCTGGCTGCTGTCACCCACTGAGTCTGCTCTGGGTAGACTCCTGGCCTCGAGTATGAGCAGCGCTCCTCGAACAAGCTTGGCCTCTCTGCTGTTTTTCTGTAGCTCATCTGAGGCTAGGCCTTCCCATAAAAGCCCTGGCCCCATGCAGCAGGGTGGCCTCATAGGTGCCGCCACCCTTGTTGCCTGCCTGGCTGGTGCTGGGCCTGGTTGCTGGAGGCAGTAACCTGGCAAGCCCCTCTTGCCGCCCACGCCCAGTGCTTCCCAGCCCCTGTGACCAGCAAGCTGAGCCTCCTGGCTTGGCAGAACAAGTGCAACTGTAAGTGCCCACCATGGGGGCTGGGGCACATGTGCCTCGCCCTGACACAGGGCTCCTGGGCCAGGACTCCCAGGGCTCCACAGAGAGCTAAGAGCTGGCAGCAGGCTGGGCCACGTGCTCAGCACCTTGTGTGCTTATGAACAACGCCGCTGACTGCGACATGTGACAACTTGCTGTGTGTAGTACGGGAAGGCATTGCATAAAGAGGAATGCTGGTGCCAGCCAGGAGGGGGCACTTGTTTGGACAGGAAGGGCAGGGAACCAGCCTGGGAAGCTGCGAAGCGACCTCACAGAGTCCCCCTGTGTGTGTTTCTGTGTGCACGCCACCCCCAGGGCATCGCAGGGACTGACGTGGCCAAGGAGGCCTCCGACATCATCCTGACGGACGACAACTTCACCAGCATCGTCAAGGCCGTGATGTGGGGCCGCAACGTGTATGACAGCATCTCCAAGTTCCTGCAGTTCCAGCTCACGGTCAACGTGGTGGCCGTGATCGTGGCCTTCACGGGCGCCTGCATCACTCAGGTGGGCACCAGGGCTGCCACACCTACACCAGAGTCTGGGACCCCCGTGTGCGAGCAGCGTGTCTGTCTTTGCAACATGTCGCCTTCCTGAGATTCCATTCCTGTACTAAAAATGTCACCACTTGTGGAGGCAAGATAGGGTGTTTAGACTCAGATTTCGGGAGATTGAGAGAGGGTATTCTTTTAAATTTTCCATCAAATCTGCATAGGTTCAAGAGCTTACACATGCACACACACACACACACACACACACACCCCTCCAGTGAATCCAGATTCTTTTTTAAGATTTATCTATTTGAAAGGCAGAATTACAGCCAGAAAGGAGGAGAGAGAGAGAGAGAGAGAGAGAGAGAGAGGTCTTCCATCTGCTGGTTCACTCCCCAGATGGCTGCAACAGCTGGGACTGGGCTAGGCTGAGGCCAGGAGCCTAGAACTCCATCCACATCTCCCACGTAGATGCAGAGGCCCAAGCACTTGGGTCATCTGCTGCTGCTTCCCCAGGCACATTAGCAGGGAGCTGGATGGGAAGTGGGACAGCCGGGACTCGAACCAGGACCCATATGGGATGCTGGTGTTGCCAGTTTTACCCGCTATGCCACAAAGCCAGCCCCCTGACTCCAGATTTCTCTGAATAAAAACTGAAGTCCTCACACTGGGCTGTCAGCTCCTAGGACAATTCACCGCTTTAGAGTGCACACGTCGGGGGTTTTTAAAAATCTGCTCCGCGTTGCACAAGCATCACCTCTGTCTAGTTCCAGACCTTTTCCAAGCTAAGGAAACCACATGTGCATTCGCAGCCCCACCCCAGCTCCCAGCCCCGGGCCCCCTCACTGCCTCCTCTCACCGTGGACTGACCCGGCGTGGACAGTTCACAGCAATGGCCGCATCCTGTGGGTAGCACTGGGGCCGCATGCCTTGTCCATTCCCTTGGGTCCAGGTTGCGTGGTAAGTGTCCACCATTTGTCTCCCATTAGACAGATCACATTTGTTGTTGATAGGTGGTTAAAATGACTTGCTGATCAACTTGGTCCTTTCAAAGATTTTTTTTTTTTACTGAGATATAATTTATACAATGAACTTCACCATGGTAGCCAGTTTACAGCACGCAGTCCACTTCTGGAAGTTTCCTATCAATGCACTCTTGCCATATGAGGGGACCTCCAAAAGTTCATGGAAAATGGAATTAAAACAACTTTGTTTTGGGACAAAAAAATGTGAAATACAGGCATTTGATGAGATCTTCAGAAAGTTCATGGAAATGTGTAGGATGCAAAATCTATGTAGGAGTAGCATTATTTTTTGCACCCAAATAAACTTCTTTTAATTCCATTTTCCATGAACTTTTTTGAAGTCCCCTCGTCCACGCGTGGGCTTGTGTGCCTGCCTTCTGTGAGGCTGCTGTTGTATTTCTTTATTTATTTGAGACACAGAGCTGCCATTTGCCGGTTCACTCCCCAAATGCCCACAACAACCAGCACTGGGTCAAGGCGAAGCCAGGAGCTCCATCTGGGTCTCCCATGTGGCAGGGACCCAAGCCCTTAGGCCATCACCCATAGGCTTCCGGGGTGCACATTAGCGGGAAGCTGGATAGAAGTGGCAGAGCTGAGACTCAAACCAGGGAGTCTGATTTGGGACACTGGTATTCAACCAGCGCGCAAGGGAAAGGCTAGGGAAAGGGCCGCCACACTTTTGTGGGAATGAAATTCCTCATGGCGTCATCCGCAAGCTGCGTTTCTCCCCCAGAGCTGCCCGATTCCCACCTCCAGGGCTTCCCTGCTCCTCTCCACAGGACTCTCCTCTCAAAGCCGTACAGATGTTGTGGGTGAACTTGATCATGGACACGTTCGCCTCCCTGGCCCTGGCGACGGAGCCGCCCACTGAGTCCCTGCTGCTGCGGAAGCCGTATGGCCGAGACAAGCCCCTCATCTCGCGCACCATGATGAAGAACATCCTGGGCCACGCCGCCTACCAGCTCACCATCATCTTCACCCTGCTCTTTGTCGGTAGGTTGCCCATGGCGGCGGGCCGACGCGCACACCACGTACCTGTGGATCAGGGACCATAGTTGCTGACAGCAGGCGCCCTGGCCTCCACATCAGTCCCTGGGACATCCGGGGGGACACATCTAGCATGGGGCGGCAGGAAGCTGAATGGGGGAAGGAGAGGCAAGCGGAACGCACGGGCCCAGCTTTGCCTACCCTGCAGCCTATGAGCCCCCCAGCCATCCCCGCCGCTGTCCCCGGGGTGGAGGAGGTCAGATGGCAAGAGCACCCACTTCTGCATTCCTGCCCTCAGACTTGCGGTGCTGTCACCCCTCGGGCCAGCCCCTGGCCTGCTGGGGTCTTGGGACTCTGAGCCCCGGGTGTTGGCCGGCTGCCGGTGCCGCCCGGTGCTGCCGAGTGACACGGCCCCCAGCACCCTCTTGCGTGCCTCCTTGCATGCAGGCGAGCTCTTCTTCGACATCGACAGCGGGCGCAACGCGCCGCTGCACTCGCCGCCCTCGGAGCACTACACCATCATCTTCAATACCTTCGTCATGATGCAGCTCTTCAACGAGATCAACGCACGCAAGATCCACGGCGAGCGCAACGTCTTCGACGGCATCTTCAGCAACCCCATCTTCTGCAGCATCGTGCTGGGCACCTTCGCCATCCAGGTGGGGGGGGCGGAGCAGCCGCTGTGCTCCTGACCGCCACCTGGGCCCCGGCTCTGTTCACAGAGCGTCCTGCGCCCCCACTCTGTCCGTGGTTGCCCTGGGATACCATGCATGCTCTCTCTGTGCCCCAGAGCAGGCATTCTGCAACCTGCAAACATGGCGGGGCACAGTGGCAGAGAGCGGGGACGCCATGGCAAGGCCTTCACTGTGGCTTCCTGGGGAGAGAGCCTGCTTTGAGCCATTTCGGCAGCCTTGGGGGCACAGAGACACTCGCTGAAACTGGCACGTGGCCCTGGGTGATGAGTCTTGGTTTATCTGAGACGCGGGCTCCTGGGAGCCACAAGGGAAGCCAAGGGTCACTGAGGCGAAGCAGGGCAATGCACGTGTGGCATACACGTGGCACGCGAGGATGGAGTTAGAGCAGAAACAGGGGAGGTGGCTGCCGCTGCTGAGCCACAGGCAGAGCCTGGTGTTAGTGGGCACCTGCCCCGGACATGGAAGTAGGGCAGCCCATGGGGGGCTACAGGACAAAAGTGGGCGTGGTGGGGGCGGGGC